TTTTTTTTCAGAAAATCATGAAACTAGAATAAATTATTATTGTAAACTGAATAAATCACAACATGTTATTATTTCTACATGGACACTCATTTTTGGAAAAAAATTGTAATACAAAGCTGATTTTTGAATTGACATCTTCACAATGTCCAGCTAAAACAAACTGTGCTAATGTATTACAGTAGTTTGTAAATACAGCTAGTTGATTAAATTGTACACTATTGAATACATGATGACACATACCCAAGCAAACATTTAACAGTCAGTAAAGGTGGTTATTTATTCAAGGTATTAGACACATAATAGCTTGTTATTGAGAAGATGCTTCGAAGAGAAAATTAAGACAAACCTCCAGGCGGCAAGGATTCAGGTGACATAGGTACACTACTGGCAATCATACCCTGAAAAATATCAAAATTAATGAATTATAGTTAATCAAAACACTGAGAAAGAATAAATACAAATTTTTTAACAATGATTCTGGTAGAAATAGAAATTGTCCCGAATGATTTGGTTGCATAATCAGATCTTGTTAAGGAAGGCCTTGATATGTTAATGCAGTTTATTACACCACGAGAATGGTAGTTGGTTTTTATCTTTATTTATCAATTTTGAATCAAAACTCTTTTGATCAATACTTTAAATTACATTTCAAATTTCAGATATTTATCAGCTCAGTAACAGACAATTCAAATGATTTGTATATATGATAACTTTTAACTAATTTATTCAATCAGATTACTGATATTATATACTGCAATACTAATAAAAAACTATATCATATTCAGCTTTGAATATAAAAAAAAATCCATTTATTTCCCCACCCATATTTTTTAGTTGTCTATTCTACTCAGATCATTTCATATGTTTACCACATGTATATTGCAATGTGTATTTAACATTTCCAAAACATAGCCCAACACATGTCAATAAACTGAAATCAGGGAAAGGAATTCTCTCCAACTGACAAAAAATTGAAATTATATCCCCAAATCCGCTGAGCAAATACAATACATATGGTAATGATCAAAACTTTGGCTTTTCATAATACAGGGAGGGACAATCAACAATCATATGGTTTACATCTGGATACGTTTTTTACATCAACTTTTCTGAGATTTTTATTATTACGTCAAGCGGTTCCATACTCAAATAATTTCATAAACAATATGTTTAAAACATAAATATCATTCAAATTTGATTTCCTTTCTTACTTGAATTCTAAATATACTCATTAGTACAAAATCAGTCCAATTAATTTTGACCTTTTTTACCTTCACAACTGAGAAAATTCTTTAAAACTGACACAATATTTCTCTCATTATGATAAAGAGTGGGAATTAAATCTTGTAAAGTGAGAAAAATCAGTAAGCCATTTCAAAGAAAAACTGTTAACATCATTTTATTTGGGTACTCAAAAAACATGCACACGTGACAACCAATATTTAATATTAGCACAGGGCCTAATAAACTAACAGTTTGAATCTAAACTTAATTCCAGCTGTAGACAAGTGGAACATGTTTAACTTAATATATAGAAAATAGCAGTTCAACTTTCAATGTTAGATGATTCTTAGTCACCTCCCACCAAACATTGCAAAACATGTTCACAAAATGTCAGATTCCTTGTCAAGAAATATTTTGGCAAGAGGTGTTTTTTCATGATGAATATATATCAAGACAGCTATCTGGAGCTCGTTACTGATAACTACAAACAGTTTCGTCCAAAACATGAAAAGAAACGTCAATCCCTGTAGACTGATTCCATTACAATACATTTCAAATATTTCATGTTTCCAAAATGTAACTTTTATTGCAAGATGACGAGGTCAACGTCTGCTGTACATATTGATATCTAATTTAAATCTATGGTATTGCCCTTATTTCTATCAATTTTATTTATCATATTATGGTATATGTATGCTGTTCTCTAATATGCAAATCATATGCAAATTATATTCAGATTCTGATTTACATAAATACAGATTTTAACTTTTTTAGTCAAGCGACATAATATAATATAAGAAAATATCAAATAAGTTGTTTTAACAAAATAATCAGATTGATAATCAAACAAGAAATTTTGAGAAGACGAATTTCAATATCGATGTATGGTTGCAAATTTTAATTTTCAAATGCTTCATTATCTTAATCATTGTTCAATTTTTGTTTTCCAGTATTAATCAAGATAATGCTGATGCTATTTACATCTTATAAAAAATTCAAGAGAATTCAGTTTTTGAAGCAAAAGGGAGACAACTCTATTCATGAAAAGATTTTCAGAAACACACTACACTACAGGCCTACAGACCAAACTAATTTCTTCCTTCAGCATGCACCTCTACTTTACTTAAAGAAACAAAATCAATTTGACAGTAATATCATTTTAATGTCAAAATGTTTCTCTGAAAAAATTTGAAGAATAATCTCAAATAAGTGCTATTGATGAAAAGAACACAGAAGATAGTGGAACACAGCCATACACACCCACCATGGCATGCGGATGGTAAAAACGAAATATCCATTTTAAAGTTCCATCAAAGTCAGTTGAAAACTAAGAGAGTAACAGCATATTAAAGATTTTGGGGCAAGGGCAATAACTCTGCTTCTAACAGTCGAAAATAGCTCAAATTCAAACTTGATCTTTGTTTTATGAATATATATTCACATACCGAATTTTTTTTGATTCCATCAAAAAATCTAGTTTTCAGAGCGTTTACAAGCAAATATTGACGGACGGGGGTGCCGACAATATACGTCCACATAGAGAGATGTGGGCGTATAAAAATGGATCTACATTGTTCAGATTATTGTGGATAAGTCAGTGATTAAACATATTGTGCTTAATATTCATATTGTTAATATTCATTATTTTAATCATCACACAACTTATTGTTTGAATGATTCAATAGATCCTGGTAGATCTACACATGTAGCTTAAATTCTATTTGTACCATTCCAGTTTCCACTTAGTATGAATTTACAATAGGAGGAAATTTTTCTGGAATTACAGAGACTACAGATATTAGATGAGAAATCAATTCAAATTGTCCTAATCTTATTTGAATTTTCTTCAAATGTAAAAAAAACTTTAGGAATTGTAAAAAGGTTTCCTGAATTTTTCATGTGTATCCTGGGACACTGATTGCATCGATTTGAACCATTTTAATCAGTCATCAGTCAAATGTTGCAATCTCACTAAATCTAAGCATTTAAGGCAAGTAAAATAATAATTGTGTTCAAACTACATGGATCCCAGTATGACAGTTTTTGATCAAAACAAGAAGGGGACACCATTCCTGTCAGTTGAACTTAGATGAAGGATTTTAATTAATGACCATGTTGTATTTATACAATGAATAGACAGCCTAATTAGTTTAAATTTACTAGCTAACTATCTCCTATAGGACTCGACCGTAGGAAACCCAACTACCCTCATCTTCCTGTCTTTTACATTGTCACTCTGTCACTAGTCAAGTTATGGTGAAATAGACTTTTGACAGTAATAACTCTCCTAGGAATATCTTCAAGAAATCTTCACTTCATCAACTTTTTAACTAAGTTTTGAAACTTGCTGATTGGCTGGCTTGACAATTAGACCATACTTTTATGTCTGTTTCCCACCTGCGGCCCACATCAAAATAAATGAAGTCAAATCTATTCTATTTCTCTATATGGTTAAAACAATCTTTCTTTCATTCAATTTTCTAGCCGTAGGAAATAAATTTCACGATTGTATATTAATAAGAGCACCTGAGCTTGCTTTAACTACACTTGATAATTTGTCATTTTTATTCACGAACAATCACTCAGAAACATGTCTTAATCAAATCAACTAAATCAAATAAACAATATCATATACAGAGCTGGTAATTGTTTTAATCATATTTATTACTTTTCATTCATTATTTGCTAAAATTTCATCAGATTTTCATTTTATTTGATAATGTTTTCTTAAACAGACTGATGCACCATTTTGAGGGGTTGATTTGAGTCATGAATAAAGGTAAATGATCTTCAAAAAAAATTTTTAATATTCAAATGCGGATAATTCTGGACATGCATGGATTTGAAGGCTCAAATTTTTGTATATATTGCTTGTACTGTTATCATAAATGATTACTTACCGGTGGTTTACCATAAGGAAGATCAGATGTATTTTTATCTGAAATAATATTGAAAATATTTCATCTTAAAATTAAAAGACTTTCTGAAAATATTGTTTGCATATTAACGGCAAATAAAAATTTTGTATATCTCAATTTAGCTCACACCATAGCTATCAAAAGTTTGGAAAACATATCTCTTATGCAAGTGAGTTGTGAGTGACTGGTAATCGCTATAGAGCAAGGACACCTCTATACAGAAAATCAAACATAATTCACCTTGAATATATTGATACTGAACAAATTACAAAATAATTTATATAGTAATCAAGCAATATTCAAATTTCCCGTACAATAAATACTAGCTATACTATATCAAATTTAATCACTTACTCATTAAGGGTGGAATACTACTGTCGTTATTATTAATATTAAATGGGTGAAGTTCTTCTCTATTCTGACCATTATTATATGGTGCATTTTCATAAAGCTGAAATCAAAGAGCAACATAATTACAGGTGGATCACAGTTCAGTAGAATCTGTTAATCATTTTTTAGTATTTTGCCAGGAATAGAATATAAGGCAATAGTTATATAAACTTAAAGTTATCATATGAGCATCTTAACCTAGATCAGGTTTTCTCAACTTGCAGTGAGCGTGTTGTTTGTAGAGCAACATAATTTCTAATAATGAAAGTTTTGCAAAAAATATTAGACTGTCTATTTCAATTTTTTTTATAATGTTTCAACTCAGTTTCCCCATGACATTGTCCAGAATAATTGGACCAAGATTTGACATTGTCCAGAATAATTTACCAAGACTTGACATTGTCCAGAAAAATTTACCAAAACTTGACATTGTCCAGAATAATTTACCAAGACTTGACATAGTCAAAAATAATTTACCAAGACTTGACATTGTCCAGAATAATTTACCAAGACTTGACATTGTCCAGAATAATTTACCAAGACTTGACACTGTCCAGAATAATTTACCAAGACTTGACATTGTCCAGAATAATTTACCATGACTTGACACTGTCCAGAATAATTTACCAAGACTTGACACTGTCCAGAATAATTTACCAAGACTTGACATTGTCCAGAATAATTTACCATGACTTGACACTGTCCAGAATAATTTACCAAGACTTGACACTGACCAGAATAATTTACCAAGACTTGACAATGTCC